GCAGGTAATTTAGTGTTAACGACTGGGTTGAAAACGTAAATTAGCCACCATGAAGAGTAAAAAAGCTGACGTTTCGAGCGTTAGCCCTTCGTCAGAGCTATCTTTTTGACGAAGGGCTAACGCTCGAAAAGTCAGCTTTTTTTCTCTTCACGGTGGCTAATTTACGTTTTCAACCCAGTTGTTAACACTAAATTACCTGTATCTGATAAAATTAGATTTCAATTGTCACACAGCTGGGAAATGGATAGTAAATGTCTGCTAGCTAATCGTGACCTCCTTCTTCTTGGTCATTTCAGCTACGCAACATCTCCCCTGTTGCTGGTGAGCAAGCTAAATCAAGAAAAAAGAAAATGGACAAACTGGTTCAGCGCCTGGTGTTTCTTATGTTTGCATATGCAGCCATTGTAACTCTCACTTATATTCCCATCTGCCTTTTACAACAACATGCAGCCCTTCTGGAACACCATATAAATCGGTACTTTCGTTGCTTGATGTTTTACCCACCAGAGAAGTGTCATAAAAGTTAGTATCAAGTGCTTTGAGTATCATTTACTTGGTATTTGTTCAGTAATACATGTATGTAACAACTACACTATGAGCTCTATAATTTTATCCAGTCTATCAAAAGTGAACAATAAGACAGACTCACATTTATTTTTTTTTTCACCTGCATACTGGATCTACACACTAAAAACATAAATGAAATTCTTTGGGTAAGGTTATTGATGAAAGTAAATTTGATGAATGTCATTAACTGAGCAACTGCATTCCTACCCTTCCCTTAGTCCAAAATTTAATTACTCCTAACTTGTTATCAGTTGACTGACATTGATCTACAAATTTTGTTCCCAACAGAATATGAAAAGTACACTTTCTCTGACGCATTTGTGGTATCATCCCTAAGTACTGCATTCTTTGCACTGACGACTGTGTGTTTCTTGGCATTTAACAAGCAGTCCCGCAAACTGTGGACCTTCTGGTGGTTCAGAATACAGAGATGCTGCTGTGAGCAGTCTTAAAACATAATTGTCAAAGCCAGAATGTTGGTTGAAGTTGTGCTTGTGATCTGAAAATTAGTTTTCAAACAGACTTGAAATGATAACATGTGCAAAACAGTGTTCATTTTTAGCAGCACTTTCTTCTTGTTGTGATGCTGACAAGGAGAATTTGTTTAACAAACAAGCTTCTTTTGTTGGTGATCATTTCCTTTATTTTTGTGACCTCGATGTGTGATTCAAGCAAGATATTGTAATTAGACATTAGATGCTAGTTACCCCTAGGGATCAAAGGGATTTACTAACCACATAATAAATTATGCTTAGCCAGTAGGCTATTAAGTGTTGACTCCAGCAGCACTTTAAATTGGCAGAAATTAAGCATAGTAAATTTATTTTTGAATGTTTAATTTAAAATGTATTTTTATTCTGAAAGTAATGTCATTTTGTAAGGAAAATCTTCTCTGTTGCTTTGCTTTTAATTGTCATCCAAATTATTTTTACAGTATACAACAGGAAAAAAATATTAGTATTGGTTTCTGTCAGATTTTGAAAAACTGTGAAAACCATAAATAATTCTGGAAATGAAAATAGATAGGAAAGAAAACTGGTCTTTGAGCAGCAGCGTTGATTAGTTGGTGGTTTTCTTGGTATCCTTTTTGACCTGGTCTGCAACATGATTGTTTTAAGCACAATGAACTTTATTGTAATATTGGAGGTATTTATAGTTCGTAATATTGACAGTGATTGACGAAATATCTATATATATAAAAAACTCTTCTCTTGTAATGATTCACAAACCAGGGAACTATAGATAAATGAATAAAGGGGATAAGTTTCTAAAATAACTGCGGTGCTGCTTCGGTGGAAGATTATAACAGGGTAATTTAGTATTATCAACTGAGTTAATAACTCAAATTGGCCACAAAGTTTCAAAGCTGACGTTTAGAGCGAAGGGCTAACGCTCGAAACGTCAGCTTTGAAACTCTTTACGGTGTTAAATTTACGCTATCAAGTCAGTTGATAATGCTAAATTACCCTGATCTGTGGATAAACCCTCGTTTACTTTCTATTCTACCAGTTTAGTTAAAAACTAATGGAAAATCGTATGAATCAAATATAAAACAAGAATCTCGAGACCTAGCCGGGTCAAAGTGATGTATTCTTTGGCCAAACACTTTACCCTCATTGTACCTCCCTCCCTCTACCCAGGAGTATAAATAGGTACCGGGAATTTACAGGGAAGCCTGATGAAATGCTGTGCGGTAACCTTGCGATGGACAAGCATTCTATGCAGGGGGAAGTAGTAATACTCCAAGTCGCTCTACTCTAAGGCAACTGGCTAGGCACTGGCTCGAGTGCAGTCTTAACGTTACCTGTATAACAAGAATTTGATTTCTCAACGCCATGTAATTTACCCCCTTAATAAACCTATAGTTTCATCCTTCAAATAAGAGAGAGGGTTTGATGTTTTCTTAGCTTAAATCCGTTAGAATCCCTTCGTTTTCACTTTCATGTCGTTACTCGTGTATCACATTACGTTCCCCGAATTCCCGGAAACGGATTCAATTCAATTTCGGATTGTTTAACTGGAAAACAATCACAACGGATTAGTAATGTGCAGAATTTGGCACTACCAAACCGACTGTGCAGAAACTGAA